CGGGTAATTGAGGGCGGGAAATTGAAGCGAACGTTCGCCTTTACTGTATGTCGGATGGGGCCCAGTACCAATCTGGACAACACATTCATACGGGCCAGTAGCTGAGCTGTTGAAACATATCGCAAAAGCACAGTTGAGCGGACCTGAGACATGATTCTAATAATGTAAACGATTTCATTTACGACGGGTAATTGAGGGGGGGAAATTGGAGTGAATGTTTACTTTTACTTTGGATCACACGGCGCCAACTACAAATGCGAACGACGCGTTCATACAGGCAAGGAGTTGATCTATCGAAAAGTATCGCAAAAACACATCAAAAAACATGCCGGTAGAGTAAACAATTTCATGGTATGAGACCAAATTAGATGGTGGTAGAAACAAGCCGAGGAAGATGGACAGCACATTGTTACAGGCAACCGTCTAAGCTACCAAAATTCATGAACGGCTTATCAGATTACAAGTGCTACCCACATTAAATGTAGTCACGGTGTCCAAATCCCAGAGTCAAACTGTCCACAATATTCCGCCCACGTCGACGCAACATTCCAAAAATACCTCAACTCCGTGAGAATTTCACGCTGCTAACGCGTTTCGCGGAAATGGCGGTGTAGTGGCCCAAGGTGCCATGGCTTCAGGTTCATGAATGGTCAAGAGTGAACCAATGCGTCCTCGGCCCATCATATCCAGGCCTGAGGCCGATGGAGGAGAATGGAACACTGCTAGCCATGCAGGGAGGTATAATCCAATCTTCACAATCCGGGCACCAACTGCTTTTCACCCCAGGGCAGTCGAACCATCTATGAGGACTCCGGATTTCAGCGGTGTAAAACACATGAGATGTCATCCCACGTACAAGTTTTATCTCAATAGGAAGGCCACACGGGTAGAATCTCTTCTTGTTCTTCTGTTGTTGATCCTCGAGGGTAAATTTGCCCACCGTTTCAAAGCCAAAGCGTTTATAAAAAACTTCGTTGTGCGCATTGCTGCACTGAAGCCAGATGCGTTTATCATGTTCATCGGCCTGCGTGAATCAGGAGAAATCGAAGGGCTTATAGAGTCCATCACTCACCATATTCATGAGCTTTCGCATGAGAGCACTAGCATAGCCGTGATGTTGGCTATTCGGAGCTGTTGCGAGAAACATAAGGTCGAACATGTCGTTCTCTTCCTTTAGAAAGAGTGACGATGATTGCTGAAACTTTTTCTCTGATTCATCATATCTCTGCATCCCAATAAGTATGCCTACAACCAGTTGGTCGAGGGCGTCATTTACCTGTCGTTGCTTCTTCTTGGCTAGGCTCTGCCTGTTCAGCATACGGGCGAAAAAGTTCAGGACGGCGTGGTATATTCTATCTTCGATTCCTTTGCATTTAATTTCTTCTGCTCCTGCCGGAATTCTGAAGAGGCTCAGGCTTTAGCTTGTGAACCTGCTCGACAGACACGAGAGGGCACGCACGCCAGGAGGAAGGCCTCACCCTCATTCACAGTCCACGCTAGTCGGTGTTTACTGTAGAAGGAGAGGAGCGCAGCCATGGCGACTCGATCCAAGCCTCTTCGGAAGAACCCTCGCTTCTGGCACTACGAAGTTGGTCAGTACTCCCAAATTTTGGACTGATGGAAAAGCAGTCTGCATACGTTGCGAAAATATTGGAACATAGGATCTGTTTCGAAGGCATCTGACCACGTCTTCGCCGCTTTCCATGCATGTCCTAGAGGGACGCGTTCAGAATTAGTATTGGAGGCTCCAAAAATCATAGCGTAATATGTATAGATACCGTGAAGGTTTGTGACTTCGATGCTGCTAGAGGAGCCATTCTTGAGCGAGGACATCTGGGGGAAGGGGGAAAGGTCGTCGAATGCAGGTTTGCATTCCTGTCTAGCACCTTAAGAAGGTTGCTATCCGAGCTTTGGGGCACTGCAGAGGCGGTACACGTAGTCCACAAAGAAATTCCTCAGTTCCTGCGCCGCTCATCGCTATATCAGTATTACGAACTCACAACACATCCCTCGGCTCGTCTTTCAGTCCACTGACATGTATATTCAATCTGTTTCAAAAGTAGGCGCTCATACTCTTCTCCCTCGGATCTTTCCTTGTTTGCGGTTGCCGGACCATCTAGGCGCTTGTTAGTCCGGCCGAGCAGCACAGCCTCAGTCTAACAAATTTAGTCACCCACCACTTTAACAACCACAGGATTCTTGGCCCATTTCGGGTTGTCTTCTCCCAAAGCCACCTCTCCAACGGTATAGAAGCCATGGGAGTTGTAAAATCCTGTATTGAGGACGTTGCTGGACTCGAGCCAAGCGGCCTGCCCCAACGAATCCGCCTATATAAAAGATGGAGTGTTGTCAAGAGGATTGTCCTATTACATATTCCACTTACTAGGCCGGTGATCGTGGTGAGGAGTGCGCTGGCATAGCCTCGGTGTTGGCTCGGGAGCGCTGTACACAACAAGTTAATAAAAATCATGTCTTTGACCCAGTCTCCGATGGTCTTCGCAATGACTTTGTCTAGCTTCGTTCGGGCCTCTGCGTACCTCTGCAGTATAGCCGTCGGCGTCAATTTTGACACGGGGGGTAATGACGACGGAGTGCCAACCTTACGCTGTTCGGGGCTCTTCACAACCAGCAGAGAAGAGAAGAACCACTTCAGCAGGGTATCAATGATCGTGTGTGCGGGATTTGTGGGTCCTTTTTTGGCCGGCGTTCTGCGGAATCGTGTGAAGAGGCATTGCAAATGAGTAAAACGGACCTGTGCACATTTCGGTAGACTAACGCAACAATCACCGACGTGCCCCCATCGACAGTTAGGACAACCTTTGTCCGAATCCATGCCGACATTATCAAGGTCGTAGACACCTTGTGAGCCGTTGGGTTGCCTTTTTGATCCTTGTGTCGCTACAATGAGGACACGTCGTTGAAATAGACAAGAAGAGACAAGCCGTACATCGTTAAGATATCCAATCATAGGATCGTCTAAGAATGCGTCGTACCATGACTTCGCGGCGTTCCATACGTCCGCTACGGGCAGTGTTAACGTTAACGTTAGACGAGATGAAGTGGGAAGTGACTGTGCCCACACTGCCGCAAAGGTTCTACGATGACTCCGTAATCCAGAAGCGGCATCTGAGCCTCCAGGTCCTTTTCATCGCTTGTGCCCACAGGCATTATAATCTTGGAGACGTTGGCGGTGGAACACTTGAAAACTCTGGCGTCCATGGCAGTACTTATGTATGAAAGGGCGAGGGCTGTCTTTCTAACCATGTGCTGATCCTGTGCAAAAGAACCGTTACTTATCCCCGAAAATTCAATTGGCACTGAGAGTCAAAATTAGGAACGTTATGATTCGTGAGGTTGTGAGGGCCTACTTACTTATGTCAACGATGGTGTACCTGAACGTCCTCTCGGTCTTATATAAACCGAACGTATATCTTCAGCTACACTCTTAAAATAACCCCATTCCTTGGTGCCAGCGTCCGGCAGACCTGAGGCCTGAGGCCTCGTGAAGACTATTTCCATGGCGGCCTCGCGTGGCATACGTTTCACGGAATGCTCTTGACGTCTTCATGAATGCAACCGGCGAGGGCAGGCCTTGTGGGGCCGTTCTGGGCATAGCGTTCCAATGCATTCGTCTGCGGCATGTGGGGGACTCGCTGCCGGTCCTCGACAGAAAGCGCGCAATGTATCATTCTGAAAAAGCGGACTGGTCGACGAAGAAGAGGTCGGTATTCCCCTGAAAGCTCCTAAGAGTTATGGGAGTTGTGGGTTGAAGCAAAGCCGAACGGCGACGGCGATCGGTAGCGCGGAAGAAAAAAACGGACACGTGATCCTCGTCTGGGCCAAGCCGCACCAGAACCCGGCTTGGATCCTACTTAAAGCACGACCTCGTTGCCCCGCCGTTCATTTACCTCGTTCACGTTTGAATCCCTGCCAAAAGCCATGCACGCCGTTTTCCTCCTCCTCGCCTGTGTTTCCTCCGCCTTTGCTTACTCCGTCATCGTCCCCAACGCATCCCAGGGATGGACAAATCAAGGCGCACAAACGTATGTCTTCTTCTTGCAAGAACTTCAGCCATTGACCCGCCGTTCCAGTCTTACCTGGCAGCGTGTTGAGTCCGACAGGCTCAACTTCACCGCTCTCCTCACCAACCAGGTGGGTGTGCATCCCTCAAATCGGTTTCTTTGTCGCTCATGAGATTTTCTCTCCTATAGCGGGTCCAAGGTTACGAGCCCCAGGTCCTCTCGGCTCTCGTCGATGGTACCCTCGGCACTGTTAACTTGAACCCTCCCAGTGGGGGTTGGCCTACCGGAAGCGGCTTCCGCCTCAACCTCGTTCAGGACGCCAACAACCTCAATGCCATTCTCGCCCAGTCTCCCGAGTTCGCCATTGCACCAGCCAGCACGACTTCTGTGAGAACGTGCGTTGTTGCTTTCTTCCCACCTTATCGAGCGAACATTGACCTCGCCCCTTAATCCATCTAGGACTGCCGCTACCACAAACACCATTGCAACTCCAGCCACCACCACCACGGCGGCTAGTGATCCTACCACAAGCGACACTCTCACTCTACCCACCACTGGAACGGGTGGTGCCTTGGCCAGCTACTCTGCGAACACTGGGTTTCTTGCCCTCTTCTCGCTTCTGGGCTTCATCCTCGCCTAATCGGGCAAAAACTTTGTCTTCCTTGAACGACGTCCTTTCTTTTTACCTCCAACAAATTGTATGTGACTGAGGTTAATCGGCTCTTTGGACACGCTTTTAGTATATTATCGGACAACACGAACCTTCTACGGCTCTTCCTAGGACTATTAGTATTACGGCCCTCGCGCAGCTGCTTCTCATCAGTACTAGATCACCCTGTACTTGTAAAAGAAGCCACTAAAGAAGATTCCCTGTCAGTCGGCGGTAATACGAATTAATTTCACTAGAGCGGAAAATCATCTCAAGCAACTGTGCGACGCCCAATGGCGCCCCACCACCCGATTCCAGCTACGCCTCCTGCTAGGATAGCCAGAGGCGGTGGGGTGGAGAACCATTCAACTACGGTAAATGTTGTTGCAGCAACAACAAGCCACCACGGTTCCTTCGCTAGACTGCTTCCTCTGCTTTCTTCGGGTGTAAGGTATCCGATTTCCCAAAGTCGGTAAACAGCAGTGAACACGAAACCGACGGCAGCGGCGTTGACGCCTCGCAGAATGCTCGCCACTTCTCTGCGCTTTCTTAGGGACTGCCAGATGCTCTGAAAGCCCACTGAAAGCCACAATCCGGGAGTGAAGATCCCGAGGAATGCAAGCAGGGCTCCAACTATTGTTGGAATAGACTTCGAAGACGCAGGGCCGGTGACGGCGAGTGCTCCCAGATAGATGGCGAAGTTGAAGTTCGGTCCAGGCAATGCCTGGATAACGGCAAGCCCAAGAAGAAAGTCGCGGGGAAGTACCCATCCTGGATCGACCACATAGTCTCGGAGGAGAGGTATAACGACTGGGCCTCCGCCGAAAATGACTGTTCCTGCGAGGAACATATTGTTGAACAGCGCGAGGAGCAAAGGTGCGGAATCAATGATGCCTCGCGTAACCATGAAGGCGGTGAATGTCGCAAAAAATACGAGGATAATAATGAGGCCAATCTTGACCGGGATTCGATGTGCTGAAATGTCGAAATGGGATGGTTGGACCGTAGGTGCACTGACATCTTCCTCCGTGTGAGGGACTGCGCCGACAACCGATGCTGCTTGACGCCGCTGTGGGCCACTTGTCTCGACCCTTCGCACTTCCTCCTTGATCTCTTGCATTGGAATTTCATTCTGACGTCCGTTCTCGGGTTCCGGAGGCGCTGAAGATCTCCGCCTACTTCTTCTATTTCTGAGCCTTCTAATCCATGGCTGCCCATACAGATCCCACCATACCGTCACCGCTCCTCCTGCAATAAGCAGCATAGGAAAATACCACAGCGCGTTATAACACAACCCCGCACTCCCTCCGAACAGGACGAGGACCCGCGTCAGCGGATCTGTAATGGCTTTCCGCGCAAGCTGCACAGCAGCCAGCGCGATAATTCCGACTGTCGCGGCGTTCAGCCCCGAGAGGAGTGCGTATGCTGGAGCAGGGAGCGTTTCACTCATTTTTTGAACCCCGAGCGATAGGCCGTACATCGCGATCGCGCCGGGGAGGGACCAGAGCAAGAAAACTAGCATCGCGGGAATGAGTCCTGCGTGAATCTGGGCAATGTTAAACAGCATCTTAGTCGACGCGGGGCCCGGAAGCGCCTGTGAGATGGCGAATAGTTCCTGGTACTGGGGATAGTATACGAGCATTTGTTTTTAGTGACATGCGGAATGTAATATGGGACGAAAGGCGGAAGGTGGAAGGTGTAAAGTCAAACATACCGTTTGCTCGTCAATCCATGGAGTCTTCCCGAATCCATCTACGAATCTGCGATGAAAAATCTGGAAGTGCACAGGTGGACCACCAAATGCTGTAAATCCCAGGTCGAACGTTCGGAGAAAGACGTCGATTAGGCGCTCGCGCAACTTGGATATGTTGGCATGGTATGGAGTGGTCGCATTGTCGGTGCCATTTGCGCTGTCTGCCACGCGTCGAAGGAGGGTGTGTAGGAGTGCATTGAACGACATGGATGCTCAGGAACGAGCGGAGTTCTCTGGGGCCTATTTTCCATGAAAGATGGCGAGCGAATGAGGTGCTTTTACCACACACACGTGGGCGAGAATGTCAAATCCAGACTGAAGTCTGAGATAGCCATGCTCAACATGAACCATTCAAAACATAGGCAAAAAGCCAGGGTGTGTACTGTCCATTGAAATCGTGTTTGCCGTTGACGAGGATAGAATCGGAGGGCAAGAGAGGGCAAGTTGTCGGGATATCACGCGCCGAGACCTTGTCCGTTGCGAGTTCCGCATCCATCATCGAACACCGACGTCTCGTTCTCCGTTTTTCGTACTCTTGACTCCAACGACAACCACCGCATACTTCGGAAACGCCTCCTAAGTGTCGTAAATGCCTGCCAGCAACTCCTATGAGCATCTCTTACCTCCCAGTTGGAAGAAGCAGATAACCGAATGGCTAGCTGAAGACACTCCTTCCTTCGACTATGGCGGCTACGTTGTTGGAGAGGTCGAACGAGAGGCTTTCCTCCTCGGAAAGGGCACACAGACAGCGGTGCTAGCTGGATCACCCTTTGTCACCGAAATCTTCTCTCAACTAGGTTGCGAGTGCGTACTTCGTCCGTTTCACTGAACGAAAGCCTTTATCTCATCTTCGCGATTCCACCGCAACAGAGTGGAATGGCACGTCAAGGAGGGTGATACTTTCGAACCGGTGAAGCATGTAGCTACTGTAAGAGGAAAGGCTCGTTTCCTGCTCCTCGGAGAGCGAATAGCTCTTAATCTCCTCGCTCGGTGTAGCGGTATCGCCACCAAGTAAGCGCCATCTAGTCGACTCCGACAACTTCGTTGATATCTTGGACAGGTCGAAAAGGGTGAAGGATCTTGCTAGAGGCTATGGATTCACTGGAACTATTGCCGGGACACGGAAAACCACCCCTGGTGAGTTCTGCCTGCTGTATGCCAACTTTCCTCTAACATGCTGTAGGTTTCAGACTCGTAGAGAAATATGGAATGGTCGTAGGAGGCATCGACCCTCATCGGCACGATCTTTCCAGCATGATAATGCTCAAAGACAATCACATCTGGTCCTCCGGTTTGTCTATTTTCATCTATACGACTCACCACGACTCAGGTTCATCTTTATAGGTTCAATTAGCGCTGCAATCCAGCAAGCTCGAGAAGTGGGGGGCTTCAGTCTCCTGCTTGACGTAGAAGTCCGTTCTGAGGCGGAGGCTGACGAAGCCATCGACGCTGGTGCAGATATCATCATGTTGGACAACATCGAGGGTGACGAGCTGGTCAGAGTGGCGAGGACTCTGAAGGAAAAGTGGAAGGGTCAGAGGAAGTTCCTGTTTGAAACGAGTGGGAATATAACAGAGGCGAATTTGCAGGAAAGAGCGATCAATGGTGAGTCGTTGTCTTGTGGTGAGTTGGAAGACAGTCTGACGAGCTTTGCGCAGAAATCGACATCTTGAGCACAAGCGTCGTTCATCAATCCGTGCAGCACATCGACTTCAGCCTCAAGATCCAGAAGCTGCAAGCTTGAGCTCCAGACATTGTCATGGTCCAACATTCAATTATTTGTATATCATCTATTTCATCCTTGTAGATTGAACAGAGCAAGTGCATTCCCTCCACGAACGCCGTCTCTATCTCCTTCGCTCCAACCCTGCACAGATGCAATGGCGTCAAGGTTTTCGGTAACGCTCTTCCACTTATCTGTCACAGAAAGAGGAGGGAAGAAAGGATGGTCGGTTCCGAATAACATCCGTTTGCTGCCTGTACTTCGGTTGGGGACTTTGCTTGCAGAAGCGCCAGATGCATAACTTGCTGAACGAGAAATAACGTCACTGACGAAGCCCAGCTCTTCTGGTCCATAGGCGACTGCGTCGAGGTATAGCTTGCCCAAGTAATACCGCGCGTCATGCTTTAGTCTTGAGGCCACAACAGGGTCGTGATCGATGCATGAAGCAAGACGCGACGACAACGCAGGAAGCGCGCCACCTGAGTGGGCAAGCAACAAGCGAAGGTTCGGGAATTTGTCGAATACTCCTGAGAGAATGAGACGCGTCGCAGCCTTGATTTCGCGTTTAGTTCGTAGTTTGAACGAGAAGTGAGAATGAACTCACCGTTGTCGTTTCAAAAGGGAAGCCGAGAGCCAGGGGGAGAACGTGGCCGTTGTCTTTATCACCCCACGCGCTGCTGTCCACGCCATAGTGAGGGTGTAAGAAGACTACCAAGCCTGCTTTCTCGATGGCTGCCCACACGGGCTCAAGTGCTCCATCATCGAGACCATTTCCGATTCCGCGAGTGCCCATAATCAGCCCTCGCAAATGCGGAAGAGCAGAAATCTGGTTCACAATGTCAAGCAGAACCGAGGTTGTGATCTCGGGGACAAGAGGCAGGAGGCCGAAACCATATAGCCGTTTGATCTGCGTGCTGCTGGAAACACTGGGGCCAGTCGAGCAATACTGCTCGAGATCGTCGTTCAATTCCGCCGCAAGTGTGTGCGCCTGGGACGCCGGAAGGAAGTCGAGCCACGGGTTGGCAGTGCTGCGTGATTTCTTGATAAGTGCTCGCGATAAGACGCGTCGTGTGGGCTGCTATCTACCTGACCACGGAGATGTCGATACTGTGCTTATCCATGAACTTGAGCTTTTCTAGCCAGTTTGTTAGACTTTCTGAAAATATAATTGAGAGAAAATACCTTCTCTGTCCCAGTATTGCGGGCCTACGGGACGACCACCGCTTGGCTCGTGGTCAAGGATCAGCAGACGGTCCTCCGCGAGTCCTTCAGAAGTTGTGCTCGTGCGAATAAAGGGTACAGTTGCAGCTCCAGCACGCGATCTCAGCAAGGCAGCATACCGAGGGAGGTACACATGAGTGTGTATGTCAACGAGGAGCTTGCTGGTCGGTGACATGGTGGTCAAAAGGCAAGATAGCAATCTCTCAGCTATGTAATCCGAGCCCGCAGGCTGGTCGGGCCAAGCAAGTGCAAAGTCGCCCACGTTCCTGGACCGTAGATCGACTCCCCGATCTGGCATCTAGTATTTGACCTTACACCACGCGGAGGCATTTTCGACCTCAGCGAAGAAGAGCGGAAATATGTCTACTGCATCCACAAGCGTGTCGGCGAAGTCTGTTCAAGATGAGGTAAGGAGGATTCGGTGTCTTGACCCCCTGCCAGTCAAGGGAAATCTCATGTCATCTGTTGGGCGCTACACAGATTCTTGACCTAGCCAACGTACTTGAAGACAGCCAAAAACGCCTGCGTCAATTAGTCTTGCGTGTAGAGTCACAGGATGCGGAGACCTGGCAGAGCCGGTTCGAGGACATGGAGAAGGCCCACAAGGAGGCCGTCAACAGCGCGAAGTGGCTTCGGGCTCAGAATGCTGAGCTCGAGCAACAGCTTGGACAGCATAAGCCTGCCATTGACAATGCTCTCTCTGCGAGAGAAGCAGCGTTTCGACGGTTGAAGCACGCAAGAAAGGTCATCCGGGATCTTCTCGACGAGAGGGTATGTATGCTCCCGCATTTCTTGGTGGTGATGATGTTGGGTCGACTTATTGTTCCTGTATATAGCGCGACATGTCGAGCCCAAGGGCTGGAGGCTCGCTCACACAAGAGGAAATTGACGAAGCTCTTTATGATGAGTTTCACCGTGACCAAGACTCGAGCTCGTCGTCGAGTGACAGCGACAATACTGTTCGGCTCGCACCTCATTCCCCATCGCGTGACATCAACACGCCTGAACCGTCCCAACGAAGTTTCCCTGTCTCCCCCTCACAGAATGTCCCTATGAACACACCCCTCCCTTCCGGCTCCGCAGGCACGTCCATTACGTCGATTCAGCTCTCTCCCCAACGGCCTAGTCCAAGGGGATCACCCGAAGCGATGCATATTCATTTCAAGAAGCCTCCTGGTAGTTCTGTACTTTGCGCAGGTCCACTTTCTTGGGAAGAGCTTGAGAGTTCATTGAAGCTCGACGAGGATACGGTAAGTCGATATGGCAAGTATTGACAAGTCGAGCTTTGATACACACGCCTCTTTCGGCCAGATGAATTCACTTCAGAGGTAGGTTCCGTGCTTCTGTGCCTTGGTTTCTAAAAGACTGACTGAGATTCTTGACTTCTTGATAGTCTTTCGCTGTCCAAGGACTTGAGCATGCGGCTTCAGCTTGTCCGAGCTGGTGAATATAACTTCGCGTTCTTGTACGACCCCATCTTCCTGGACACTAGGCAGAGAAGCTACATTCTTGACTGGGGGCGGGCGCAGACGAACACGAACATTGAGCGATATATTTCGAGGCACAAAGGAGTCGACCTGGTCTTCCACACTTTTATATACCCCCTGAACCAGGTGCGATCACGACGGATGCACACCGGCAAACCACAGTTTACTGAACGATATTACAGAAGAGCTGGTTCTACATCGGGGCGCTGCAGTGGTCCGTGGCGCATTTGACGGACTGGTGGCCAACATTTGAAGGAGCGGTGAGTTGCCTGGAAGGTGCAGTGGGAAAGACGCTGATTGAATCACAGAGCAGGAGAAAGATAGAGAAGAAATTGGGCGAGAGGACATTGGGTACAGTCAACAGGCAAGAGATCGGGAACATGTTGGACAACAAGGATCTGAAGCAGATCTGCGTTGAGCTTACTCGAGCAGGGGATGCAAGGACTTCCATGGACTTTTCCCAGACGGTGCTTGGTCGTTCGCCACCGTACGCTGAGCCAAGACACGAGCGGCGGGCCGAGGGTGTTCGGGAGTAGGCGATGATGGGAGAAGGGCGGAGGTGTTCTGAGCATGTTGATTGCGCCTCCGGATGTATTTGTGCTTGTTTGTCAGTAGCTTCCGAATGATAGAGAGCACATGGATACGGTTGACATGCGATTCTATATCGAGCTCTGTCTGGATAAAACTTGGGAGGACTCCAGGCGGGTCCATTTACCCTTTCTCTCTTCTCTCTCGTCATGGACGCTTCAGCTCGCAGGTCGTTCCCTCACGTCCACGCTCTCTTTGCGCTCACCGTCTTTGCTGCCATCGTATTCACCCCCGTCGTCCACGCCGCCCACCCACCCTTCGCACGACGAGAGATCCTTCTTCCCCGCCAGGGTACCCTCACACTGACCACGACAACGATTACGACAACGACCAGCGTCATTTCCGATTCCTTCCCGACTTCTGTGCCAACGCTGTCTTCGTCTTCTGCGATCTTGTCCTCCGTGCAGTCTTCGCCTTTCTCCGAGTCTCTTGTTTCTTCGTCTTCCTCAAGCTTTTCCTCGTTGGATTCGCTATCTTCCACTATTTCCCCTTCTCAGTCATCTACCTCCTCACAGCCGTCGTAAGTCAGCCATCACTCGGCAAATCGACATCTAATTAAACACTCCTACTTTGGAAATATCCAGGTCTTCATCATCTGTCAGTAGTACGCGATCTACTTCCTCGTCCGTACAATCGACTACCAGCTCTACGTGGACGGTGGAACTTACTCCGAGCATCACTTTCGCCTTCACGAACAATTTCCTGCCTACGCAAGCGACTGAAACATCATCGTCATCGAGTGAACCCTCGCCTTCCGAGACTGCTAGCAGCAATGATGTCGTCTCCGCCGCCGCGAAGTCCGGGTATGTGCATATCTTCCCCGACGTATCGCCTTCTGATGCCGTATTCCAGTTTTTGGCAGAATAAGGGTGTAGTCGCCGCCGTATTCGTGATCGTTTCACTCGCAATCGTTGGTGTTGCCATCATCATCATCATCGTTCTCCTGAAAAGGAGGAGTATGCGAAGACAAGCACGGCTCCACGATGAAATTTTCGAGAACTACAACGAGCCGGACTTCCGCAGCGACTCCCCGGGACCCTCCATTAACAATGCTCCCATGGACGCCTTTGCTCGCCGTGAAATTGGATATGACAACCCCTCCCCGACCCTCAATACTAACCTGCAAACCCAACCTCGTATCATTATTCCGACTTCGCCCATTCAACACCCTGATTATTATAACTCATCTTCGCGTTATACTCCACCTTCGCAGATGCAACCAACAGCCCCGCCAACCCGCGGTCCAGAAATTCGAGGCTCAACCGGTTACCAGCCATCTCTTGATTCCTTTTACGGTGCTGGCACGCCTGTCGCCTATAAACCACAGCCATAAAGTGGTGAGTCACCCATTCGTTTTTCATTATGTCTAGATTTCTGATTTGCCTGTTACCTTCAGCTGATTGCTTTTTGTATCAACGTTGTAGTAGGCACTGGATGTATTTTTGCCTTTAACTTATTGCCCCATTCACGAATCACTTGAGGCCCGTATCTTCCTTACTAGGACGTATGGAAACATCTGTACATTAATACGCACTGAAATCTGGGCCTTGCAATGCCATCACTCATCTACAATCATCACCTGCCAAGACCTGCCAGTACTTCCCATGAAACTGTGTGAAGACAGTTTGCAAGTCTCATGACAGCATCAAAATGCCTTGCGAGATGCCCGGCCCGGACTTGCCATCTTGCTTGGAGTCCTTGGTTCGGGAGCTTGAACTGTTCATATTCAACTCCTCCACCGACTGTCATGTCGTCCATTCGTATCTTGAACCTTACGGCAAGGTGTATCTCTCAGCCCAATTCACGAACATTCCGACAGCCTAGAAGGTTCCTGCAAGTGCAGAGCTCGCAACAAGCATACTTGGAGCCTCTGGAATCCCACCCGGGCATAACCTGCCTGTCCCTCAACCGACCGCAGAGCAAGAATGCTATCTCAACGACTCTACTACAGGCAATTTAAAACCGAGCATTTGTCGCTTTGTTGATGTTCTAAATTATCTGCACAGCAACTCCGAGAAAGCCTCGAGACAGTCCACTTTGACAAGAGGTAAGAAATACGCGACGTCTCCTTTTCGCACCGCCTCAACACAAAATACAACCTCTGACGCGCGTCCCGGAAGAACAGCATCAGAGTTCTGATCCTGCGCTCGACGACCGTCGGATCGTTCTGCGCAGGGGCAGATCTCGCTGAGCGGCGGACTATGACCCAGCCACAGGTTGCGCGCTTCCTCGTCGAGCTCCGCGACGCTCTGGGGAAGCTCGAGTCGCTCCCGATGCCAACAATCGCTGCTATTGACGGTCCTGCGCTTGGAGGAGGCCTTGAGATGAGTCTTGCGTGCGATTTACGCGTCGCTGGTGCGTTCGCTTCTTCGTATGGGCTCTGGTACCGGAATGCTCATTTGTGGACGCAGGCCATGATGTCACGAAAATTGGGCTGCCTGAGACGAGCCTCGGTATTATCCCAGGTGCTGGAGGCACGCAACGTGCGACGAGGATATTGGGCCCGTCTAAAGCCAAAGATCTTATCTTCACTGCCCGGACCTTGACCGCTACAGAAGCACTGGAATGGGGTATGTGCGCTCCTCGATTGAAAGCAGTTGTATTGAATATGCTGCCTTCACTCACGTAGGCCTCGTTAACTACGTCTCGTCTCCGGGGACAGCAGCTTTCGACCGCTCGCTCAAGCTGGCAGAGGCGATTGCGAAGAATGGTGAGTTTCGTCAATGGGTGGCCTCGTAATTTCCTGACCGCCGACGACTCTCCACAGCCCCGCTCGCCCTTCGTGCGGCCAAGCAGGCAATTTCGAGATCCGAAGACCTTCCTCTCGAGACAGGTACAACGAAGTCCTTCCAACTGAGAGCCACGATTGACATACGGTTCAGGTCTCGACTTCGAGCGGGCGTCGTATGAAACCCTGTTGACTAGCAAGGATCGCAATGAAGCTCTCGAGGCCTTCCGGGAGAAACGCCGACCTCTCTTTACGGGAGAATGAATAAGGTAGTGATACAAAGCATGCTGGTATAAGCGGAGAAGAACAATATCCAATACACCAAAAGGCTGTCCATTAGTTTCCAAACGGTCTCGAGAACGTGCCTGTTAGACTGGCAGGGATCGTAGGCATGCCCATGGAGATACCTTCTGGCTTCAACCCTTCCAGCTCCTTCATCATGATGCTCAGACGGGCGAAACGATCCTTTAGGCCAGGACCGGCCGCAACCTCGTCTGGGACTGCCTCGACGTCGTTAAAGCCTTTCTCGAATTGTCCCCAATCACTCCGCAGAGACAGGTATGGCTTCAGTAGTGATGAATCGATGCGACCTAGATAGTTCTCGGTGATGTAGGACTTGAGAATCTCAGGCCTGACAAGGAAGACATTTCCGAGCTGACGGATAAACTCAAAGCGCTCATGCAGAGCGGGAATACCGAAGCTGGTGATGGTATCTTGATACGATTTCAAGTCCCTGTGAAGTGGGTTTTGTGGGCTACAGTCAAAAATGGAACATGCCGACTCACTTGGCAAGCATCAGTCCTCCAGTTGCGCTGACTGGGAATTTACGAAGATGTTCCAAGAGTAGACTACAATGAAAATTTAGAGAAAAATGCCACGGTTGTTCTCATATGCACTTGCCTATGGAAAGCGACGCCGATTTCGGTCAGGAATACTTCCAGATTCTTGCCGCTTAAATTCTGATTTGCGGCGTCTCTGACTTTCTCCAGGCTCTCGCAACAGGTAACACAAGGTTCGGTGTTCACGCGGGCGAATGATAGGTCGTCGTTGCGTGGCTTGAAGTCATTGCGTTTCTGCTTCGTCAATTGAAGCGCTAGCCAGTTAATGATGGCTGCGGAAGCTTCAGCAGAAATTCTTCAAAGAAGGGCACGAAGATGTCATACCGTCAGTAATGCGCTGCAGTAGGCTATTGGCTCCTGTCTCCATTCTATTGATCACTTGGTTGTTGAACACCACCATCTCACGGCGAATGGTGACAGAAGAGCTTGCAAGTGGCAGGAGAGCGGTGTTGATATATTGTTGCCAAAGGTGGCAAATAAGGTCGATAGAGCGGATGAGCGACAAAGGTTGCAAGTTTGGCTCCGACTTGGTATCAGCAACATCCAAACGAGACAGCGCTCTGGGCATGTAAAATCAGTGACAACTTTTGACCGATGCCCGCAGATAAACCCACGTCTCTACAGCAGCATCGACGTATGACACCCCAAGAGCTTCAGCAAGAACACGGAGCAGAGTAAATGTGTTTTTGGGCCTGCGAACGGTGAGTTGATTATGCTTCATGGAACATCAAGCAGTCATCTTACACATCATTTGAAGGACTTAGTTCAACACAGCGACCTATGGCTTCTGCATGCCACTTCATCATCTTCTCAGCGATGTCGACAGTCAATACACCGTCTTCCTCTCGAACGGGCTCTTCACTATTTCTGTCGGAACTTCGGTCTGAGCTGATTACTCCAAACCTCATCAGGGCAGAGGCAGCTTGGGCGGAAGGAGTACCAGAGCCCCCGCCCGAGGACGTTGTTGTTGCAGCACTAATTTGATTCACCATACGATCGAACATGGACGATTTGGCCTTGGTTGATTTCTACCACGAAGTATTAGCCAGAATTTCGGGCTTAAGAAGTGGACGAACGTGATATCGAGTGAAGTTGGCAAGAAGATTCATGTACAATGAGACGAGGCTCTTGTTTTCCCTCTCCATGTATCGCTGGCCCTCCGTGTAAGGAACGAATAATTCCTCCATGGCAGTCTCTAGCATCGCACTAATCGTCGCAGACGGTGCGGCGCCAGTGACCGGAGCAGATCCTGCCAAGGAGCGCCGAAACTCCGTAGCCTCGTATGGTGTTCGCGGAGATGTATGGGGTAATTCATGTGCTTTCAAGTCCTCAACCAGCGCAGATGCTTGGAAGTGGACCAACTGTAAGATACGCAGATAGGCTAGATCTGAAATGTCTGAACCCTTGTGAAGCAGTTGTTCCATGTGTTGTTGAATCTGCGTAGGTGCTTAGCGATTTGTTTTGAGAGAGAACGGCGTAGAGAGAACGACTGACAGATTGAGCGAACACTCTTTGCAAGAATACCTGCATGACGATGGGCGGATTTGGAAAGACAGCCTTCACAATCTGTGCTTCCGTATCTACCGTTGCTCGAATTTCCACAAATAAATCGGTCAACCCAAGTTCAGTTTTCGGAGGACTGGCATTTGGATCAGGGATGGCATTCCATCTACAAAGCACCTTCAGGACGAGGTCTCCATAATGAAATAATTCGAATACAGACAAAATATTATCCACAGGGGCCGGTTCTTCGCGGACATTGTTGATAAAGAAATCGTGTTGGTTGACATAAACTTGGACACAAGATGCACCGCCATTAAATTCGAGAAGGGTTTGAGCACAGTGCTAAAGAAGAGTTTTAGAAAAGTACTTATGAGGAGGAAGCTCACCATACATGCATCATCTTTGGATCACCCTTGCGATAGCATCGGTCGAAAAGGTTTAGCATTTCTTTTTCAAACTTTTCGCAATATTTCTCGATATTTCCTCTCGTCTAGATATACGTTTAGCCTCCATAACCTCGAGCGACATAACAGATGCTCACCTTTTCGGCATTAGGAAGATCCACTTCTTTGGCGACTGTATTTAACCGCCTCAGCACGACAGCAACCTGCCGTCTCCCAGCTCGGCCTTCTTTACGAAGGGCATCAAGTCGACTTGTGTCGCCTTTGCTGAACTGGTTGTAGAAATCGATCAAGTCATAGGCGGCTTGAGCTCTCTGCCGCTCTATGTGAACAGTTTCCAGTTGATCACCTGGTGAACTTGTGAAGGCTGCGAACCCTTACACGAAGGCATGAAATACTCACCAATGCGGACAGCAATGCTACTGACTTCATTCATACGACTTTCCATGCCTGAAAACGAATTTCCTACCGTCTACTACAAGGTTCAGAGGAAATGCGGAAAGACTGAAGACGTGCGTGCTCACTTCGAAGCCCTTCGTTAGCTCTACCATCTTCTTCGAATATTCACGTTCTGCGACCCGTACACTCTTCTCCATCTGTTCAGTCTTTGATTGAACATCTTTGCGAACAGCAATGAGCTTGTCTACAGCTGCCTCAAACGACCGAATGAATGGTTTTGGGTTAAATGCTAAACGATTACATCAAGGTGGGCGATCGCAATCGTGGGTGGAAGGAAAGCTCAACGCACGTCCATTAGAGGCCTTCGAGTCCGTAATAAGCTTCTCAGATGCAGACGCGATGAATTCCGCGACATCGAATTTACCCTACGTCTCCATGAGTTGCAGACGCTGCAGTACATGGATTCGAGACCCACCTTGAACGCAGCGAGTTCAAGATATTCCTGTGCTTCACTGTCTTGAGACGAGACATTTGGTTGCCTCGACATTGATGACACAGTATCGATATCACTTCATGCACATAAAAAACTGGAGAGAGAGCAAACGCTTCACTGTAAATTGAGGTTGCCGGCGGTTATACTTGCGAAGTCAGTGATGTGCAGAAATGGTTACTGACCCCGGGACGGCCGGTCCGATCAATTGAACGGAAACCTGTGACTTTTTCTCGACTTCGTCTCCGCCACAACTTCCATTCAATGGACCCCGGGAATCACTTGAAGACGCTGCTACAATACCAGCTCGCCTCGGATGTCTCGTCTGCAAGGCACCTTCCGTATTGCCTGTCGTCGCTGACAGCAGCCTCCTTGCTACCTTCCTCTCACCTGGCAAAATGGACAATGCGAATCAATTCTCTCCTTCACTCCAAGGATGCAGGCGCTCGTTGGGCGGGACTTTGCTTGGCATATAAAACAGCGCTGCTATCGCAGAGCCTTATGATTAATTCTGCTCAAGCTTGGATTGCTTCTGCAATGCTTATACTATCAGTCCGTCTCAGCTATCTTCCCAACTATAATCCGTCTAATCTATTTAATGCGAAAAGAGAAACGAACCAGTTCCCACTCTGAAGGCCGCTCTGAGGCTTCTTCGAGTCATATTCACGACAGCAACTGACATGCCAGAATTTCAAAGGCAAGTTGCAGTGCCCAGTGTGGTTAAATTCACGACAACGATTACGACCCTTGCCGAGATTCATCGCGATGTTGAGCTGAAGGTCAGCAGGGTCAGTTGTTGCTCAATCGAAATCTCGCTGATTTTTTCACAAGAAATTCATTATGGAGACCCTGACACGCCTCGTTGTTCTGTATCCCACAACCCATAAAGGGTTGCAGGGAGCTCTCTCATCTCTTTCTCTGCGATACTTGAGTGGATCTGCTGTTGATCCTCTAAATATTGAATTCGTCAAAGCGGCTGCCAGATTATACGCGGCCCTTCCTGTCACAGGAGGGAAGGTTGGAGCAGTAAGTCTTTGGAGAAAATCCTTGGATGAAACCATGGCGTTTGGCTGGGAAGCATTCCACTCCATGCGAAGCACGTTTCCTATAGAAGGCTAGTGATTTCCCGTCATTGCATTGTTCCGGTTCAACTGTTATCTAGGTAACAGTGGCAAACGCTTAAATCAGGATGGAGATCCTCAGGTCGCTGTCCCTCTCAATCTCGATAGACTGCGTTGTGCCATCGCTGCCCTTTGCAGCCTTCTGAGGTAAGAGATGCTGTAGTGCGTGTAATGCGTGCAACTTAATTCCTTTGCAGCGCCCCAGTGCAAAGGCCCATCCAAATTCCCCTCGGCAGTGTTGTAAAGTTCGTAACGGCTTTGATAAGCTGCTCTGAAGAAGGTAAAGTAAGTGTCGATTTCAAAACATGCACCCTCGATCATTTGACTTTGTTGACTTTAGGTAGATGGTTTCATCGACCCATTCACTCGTTCGATGGAAGTGGCCGTTGTACTGGACATACACATGGCTGGTTCTGACCTCTTAGGACTCCTGGCAGAACAGTATGTCTCAGTTCATCAACTATATTCCCCCCGGTATACGATTTCAACAGATTCCCCTCTCGCCTTAACGCCCACCTACCCAAACTACTGACGACGTTGGTTTATCAATTAGAGCAGACGCCTAACCCGTAGGTTTTTTTTTCGACTGGCACCCTAGTGCTACTTTGTTCTGACATATCTCAAAAGTTGGCACCAGCGATCGGTGCTCAAAGAAATCCGCGCTTTACTCAAAAATCCTCTCCAGTGGATTCCTCGGTTCTCCCAACACGGATAGCGAAAGCGGTTCTACCCACGATCACCAAGATCATTTTAACGACTTCGCAGCAGGCCTCTGGCTCAAACGAAGGGCCATCTAACACGATAAGACACGGGAAAAAAAGAACAAGAAACTTTGAAGGAGATGAAGTCTTCAAGGTGTCTCGTGAAGTTGTTTGCCCTACCTCCATCGATGGAGAGCTTCTTTTGGCCTCTATTGATGGTAAGAGAAGGCTTTCCTTGCAAAGCCGCTAGCTGATGGCCATTGTGTTCAGTTGTTCAAATGCTCTTCAAAAATATCAATATATCGTCTGCTATGAAATCGATAGTAGCTCGTGTTATCATTTCCATCCTCATATCGCTACCCAAGATGCCTCCTTCCTCAATTTCTCAAGATCCCAACTTCGTCCAAGAGTTAAACTCGAAAATTCAAGACTTCGCTGTTCTTATTGCCTCTGGAACAACAAGTGCTATGAGCAAGGCCTTGCCGTTTATCGTGGAGGCAACTTTCACAAGCAGCAGGAAAGAGGTAAGGCAGGGTGCTTGTAAGAAGACGTATAGGTTCCTAATTCGAGATATTTTAGCTTCAAAGCGCTGTCGAATTACTTCTACACCCTCGAGTGCCACCTCTCGTTCGCGCAATGCCGCATCTGGAGTCGCTGTCGCTGCTCAAAGGAGAGGAATCACACCAAGAGGGAGAATTACTGTCATCATTGGCAATGCAGGCTCAAGAAACAAATTTGACAGAAGATGTGACAATGAAAGACAACAGCGTGGTCCATGTCGCAGGCAATTCTCTGGCAGTGAGGACACCCGAGCCTGCTGTAACACTGCCCACCCAAATGCCCACAACAGTACCAACTACACTACCGGGTCTACTGCCGCCACCATCACCTCCAGCTCCAATCGTCGAAGTACCTCCTCTGGCCTCCACCATGCAGGCTGTGCTCGTCCAAAATACCGTCCCAAAACCAAATGCTGTAAAGTCCACTACTCAGCTTACGGCGCTATCTGGAAGTACCAGCGAATCAAATCGTGTGGTGGCGGTGGACGAAACAATGTTGGTCATATCCCGAGAGGAAGATGGTGATAAAGAGGAGATGCCGTCCATAGACATGGACTCTGATTCCGAGGTTGAGGAGGAGTGATGATAGCGTAGATGTCCATCGTAATTTGCATCCTGATCAAGCGCGAGCTCTCTTTTTGCTGTGGTGAGATTCGGCTAGCTCCATCTCATCGTCAGAATCGTCCGGAGGAATCTGTTTGCCCTGTTGGAAACTAGATAACTGGAGACGCATTGGATCATTTCCCCGGTGATATAAGGGGTGATCCTTACCTTCTCCAAAAAGGCTTGCACCACAGTGTTGTCTAGATCCAGTGTCTTTGCATGCTCAAGGTGAGTCTGGGCATCACGGAGGAGGTTGCGATCGAAGCGGTTCGAGTGGTCTAATATGAAGTCAGAAGGGATATTTGCAGCGTCTAGAGCAGCTTCACCTTGTTGAGGCTGAGCGAGAAAGATGCAACAAAGACCCGCATAGACGTGAAAAACCGGATTGTCTTGGTACGGGAATGAAGGAAGATATCTGTCAAACCAACCTCAGAAGTTTCTCGAAGGCATGAAAAATCAATGTTTACAATTCCAGTTCGTCTAAGGCCTCTCTGCATTTACCCAGCAGCAAAAGCCGAAAGACAAGCTCTTGGAGGATAGATTCTCTCTGAATGAGATAGCTTCATTACATTCTCATTATCGAGATCGTAGCGGTCTTACATCGTCGGGACAGTGCAGCATCATCGCCCGAAGATAATCCACAGCATTGCAGGTGCCGTTGTTGCCAGGTTCGCCTTCTCCGAGGATAAGGAGGCCAGTGGTCCAGAGGGCTTTCCAGTCGGTTTCTTTACAGCGACAAAGAATTGCCCAAGCCCTTTTGGCCCGCTTGAACTGGCGCGTCTGGATGCTTAATTGCAAGATATCATGAAGACGTCGTAAATGGATTTTTCGGGTGGTTGCCGGTTGCCTGGAGTTGTGAGGTGCAAAAAGAAAGGCGTGGTCATGGGAAGACATCAAGGAGTGATAACTAATCCCTAACAGCAAACAACCCCAAAGGCCAGGCTTGAAATCAAAGTTCTCTTTGCGCAATCCACTTCCATTTTCCTACCCCCTCTCAAAGCCTCTCAATAATCACACACTTTCGCGATCCTGGAGGTTAATCATGGACGACGACCTATTTGGAACGTCGGTATGGGCCACGAACGCGCCGGTAGAGCCATACCCGCCTCTCCTCGAATCCGAGCCCAGTGTCCCTATCACCAACGTTGAGGACACGGCATTTAATGACTTTGACGACTTTGGGGCGCCTGAGGAGGCCTCGAGGGATGCGTCCAAGGATGACGATGACTTTGGCGACTTTGGCGATTTCGGAGAGGTAGAAATCGACCGTTCAGGAGGCTTCGGAGACGCCACAGGATTCTACAGTGTACCAATACCTGGTCCATCATCACAACATTGGCGTCCATTACAATTGTGCCCTTTCCCCTCACGATCGAGTCTGGAAAGCGAGATCAATGAAACCTTGGCTCCAGTATGGAATCACGAAGATATTGCGGACATTACCACAGATGAGGCTATCCGGGAAGCGGAAGGTGTCGCCCAAATATTGTTAGCACCAAGCAGGTGCGTATCCCATTAAACCACTCTGGTTCCTCTCTTGAATCGTTGCCTCTTTCTCTGTCCGAAGTCGTGATATGTACAAAATGTTGTTGCAAACACCCCCGCCCACAAAACCTCCAAATTGGACGCGCTCGCGTATCCGACGCCAACATTTGATTACCCTAGGAATCCCCGTCAATCTTGACGAGGTTCTCCCTCGTGCGAATGGAAAACCTTTACCCCCACTCGAAATACACACTCGTCCGATGTCCGCTCCGCCAGGCGGACCTCGCGATCAGCGGTATCCTAACGGTGGAAGTAGCTCCAATCACAATTCGAGAGCGGGGACTCCACAACCCGGACAACAAGGCAAATTTGCGCAATTTGGGCCTAAGCCTGAGCTGGACATGTCGAGAATCAACAAACTGTTGCAATTAACTCATGGTGAGATTACTTTTTCGTCACCAAATCACGATCTTATTCATCCTTCCACTATCAGAATCGCTGACGATGCAGCCACTGGCCAATCTGGACCGTTATCTCGCTGATATTCGAACGCAAACGGCAAACACATCGAGCCTGCTGACATACCTTTTGCAAACCCGTGATGTCCTCCAGCAGGACTCCGAAACATACAATGGTCTGATCGCTGAAATGGTCGGGGAGGCTCAAAAGTTGAAGTCTGGGAAGGTAACGCGGACAGGCAGCATGAGGCGAGGCAGTGGAATTATTTGATGGAATTTCCCTTGCCATTCTGCAATTGTCCTACTTACATCCCTCTCCGACACCCGACACCAGGCGGGCCCGTTGCGAAGCTCGCCATGCAGCTTAAACTTTTAGCGACAGGCCCGGTTTTCCTGTGCTGCATATGTACACTATCGTACAAGCATGGTGTATCCGTGTGTGCGATTCAGGAATATATTTGACACTATGTACTTCTTGACGCGGCCCGATTTCTCCGATGGACACGTGACATACGAAAAGTTTGGTCTCAAGTCAGTAAAGGATGCCGACCCTGTATCTACAGCTTACGGTTCTCGTAGGTTCTCATCTCCAGCTCACCCATACGCGCACTCCTCGTTATAGCCTTCTCCTGGTTCCTTCATCTCCTCCGGCTCTGCAATAAACCATGAACATCGTGCACTCATTACCTTCCACCGTGGCCGGCGTTTCCTTTTCGTTCCTCACTTCGGAGGACATTCGTAGAATATCCGTCAGGCAGATCGTGAATCCTGTGCTCCTTGATGATCTAAATAGGCCGAATATTGGTGGTCTGTACGACCCTGCTCTTGGTCCCAGCGATCGCTCAGACATGTACGGTTCGGTCTCATTTACCTTTCTGCCTCTTCTTTACCATATCGCCAACTAGTTGTGCAACCTGCCATCTCACCTACTTTACATGCCCTGGGCACTATGGCCATATTGATCTACCTGCACCAGTGTTCCACCCTTTGTTCATGGGCAATATGTTCAACCTTCTCCGGGGGACCT